TCAAATATTGGAAGATGCTATCCTGCCTCCCCTGGTCCTTCTCTCCACTAGACTAGCCAGGCCCAGTTCCTGCAACGGTTCGTTGTATGTTTTAGCCTCCAGTCCCCTCATCATCCTGGTTGCTCTTCTCTGCACTTTTTCCAGAGTCTCAACCTCTTTTTTATAATGTGGGGACCAAAACTAATCCTTCGCGTAATTTTGATTTCGATGCCTGGAGCGACGGTGTTTGATTTTTTGTTTTCCCACCCTCTCTTTTCTTTTGGAAACAGGAAGCTGCTGGAAGGAGAGGAATGCCACTTTGGCAGCGGGATGGGGATTTTCCCATTCCCCGAAATTGCCCCCAAGGCCCCGAGCATTCCCTCTCACATCAAGGTCAAAAGCGAGGAGAAAATTAAAGTGGCGGAGAAATCGGAGAAGGAGACGGTGATCGTCGAAGAGCAGACGGAGGAAGTGCAAGTGACCGAAGAAGTGACGGAGGAGGAGGAGGAGGAGGAAGTGGGTGAGAAAGAAGAGGAAGCAGAAAAGGAGGAGGAAGCGGAAGAGGAAAAAGAAGGGGAAGAGGAAAGCCAGGAAGAAAAGGAAGAAGGAGAAGAAAGCAAAGAAGCTGCAACAGAGAAAGAGTCTCCATCTGCAGAGGAGACCCCGTTGCCTAAAAAGAAGCCCACCTTGAAGGAAGAGGAGGCCAAATCTCCTGAGGTAAGGTCTCCCACCAAAGATGAAGCCAAAGAGGAAGCCAAGTCACCAGCCAAAGTCACGTCTCCAACGAAGGAAGACAGTAAACCTCCGGCCAAAGTGATGTCACCAACCAAGGAATTGTTGAAAGTCCCAGGTGCAAAACCAGTGGAGGAGGCAGCCAAGTCCCCTGTCAAAGAAGAAAGCAAATCTCCAGCAAAACCTGGATCTCCAGAAAGCCGGACTCCAGAAAAGCTGAAATCTCCAACGAAGGAGGCAGAGAAACCTCCGGCGGTGAAAACCCCAGAGAAAGTGGCTTCCCCAACGAAAGAGGATCTCAAAACACCGGAAAAACCAAGATCTCCAATAAAAGAGGCAGAGAAACCTCCAGCGGTGAAGATCCCAGAGAAGGTGGCTTCCCCGGTGAAAGAGGACCTCAAATCTCCAGCAAAGGAGGCAGAGAAACCTCCAGCGGTGAAGATCCCAGAGAAGGTGGCTTCCCCAACAAAAGAAGACCTCAAACCTCCAGAAAAACTGAAGCTTCCCCCAAAAGAGGAAGCTAAGTCCCCCGAGAAGGCCAAGACGCCCGTCAAGGAGAAAGCTAAATCTCCAGAAAAAGAGGGGGGACCCCAAAAGGAACCAGCGAAGCCGGTGACAAAGGAGGAGAAGGCGCCAGGGAAGGAAGCGGAAGCGCCAACCAAGCCCGTGGCAGAGAAGAAACCGAGCAAGAAAGAAGAGGAGGCCAAGCCAGAGACCCCAACCAAGGATGCTCCCAGGCCAGAAGCCAAGGAGAAGGAGAAGACCGAAGACCAAGGGGACAAGAAACAAAGCCCCAAGGCCAAGTCGCCCACCCTGGAAAAGGCACCGGCTGCTCCCAAGGCTGAGGACAGCAAAGGGAAGGAAAAAGAGGCCACCAAGCCGGCCTCCAAACCAGAAGCAGGGAAAGAGGTGGAGAAAGGAACCAAGGGGGCCGTGCCAAAATCTCCAACCGAGGAAGCCAAAGCGAAGACCCCAAGCCCACCGGCCAAGAAGGAAGCCGAGAAAGCCAAGGCCGAAGAGAAGAAGGAAGAACCAAAGAAGGAGAAAGCGGAGCCCAAGAAAGAGGAGGAGAAAGAGAAACCCAAAGCAGCGGAGAAACCCAAAGACGACGCCAAGAAGACGTTGAGCCCCAAAGAGACCCCCACACCGGAAGGCCCCAAAGAGACCCCCAAGATGGAAAAAGCAGAGAAGTCGTCCGGGGTGGACCCCAAAGAAAGTAAACCCGCCGAAAAAGAAGAGAAGACCAAGAAATGATCCGATGCCGGAGAAGCTTGAGGGGGAAATCCAAGGACTTGGAAGACCACCGATCTCAGGCTGGTCTTTCCTCAAAGGCTAAATTTGGAGTGAGCCACCCCTCCCCCCACCCACAAGAGGGACCTGGAATGCATGTTTGCAACCCGTCGTTTCCGAGAGGAAGAAACCAACCCAGCTGAGCCACGATCCGGTCCGAGATACACTTGGTGGGAAAACAAACACACGAACAAACCAACCCCAAAGCTGGTTCCAATTATGTTATTGACAGCTTCCGTAGCCGAATGTGATATATGCAGAATGCCATTTAAGCACTTGAATTTATTCAAAGGGGGGGGGGGGGGGGGGGGAGAAGGGGGGAGGGGGGGGCAAAAAAAAAAAATCCAGGGCAGTATTTGACTGCCCTTCTCAAAATAAGTGCAATTTATTTCCCAAACACGGGCAAAAGGAAATCATAACACGCAATAAATCTCGAAGGTCGAACGCAGCGAGAGATGGAATTCTGCCTCCGCACAGAGGACCGAGAGAAGGAAATCTCCAAAAATGATGCTTTAAAGATGCCTTTTTCTTTTCTTTTTGGCTTGATGTGTGTTGCTTGGGGAAGGTGTGTGTGTGTGTGTGAATGTAGAAGGCAGGCCTTAATCCAGCTCTCAGTAGGAAGAGCCTTTTCAGGGGGTGTTAGTAGAAAAGCAGGGGGTCACCGTTGGTGGGAGCTGGGGAGGGGGATTGTCCCCTCCATTCAGCCCCATTGCTGTCTCAAGGGTGGGGGGCGGCTTCCCATGTGCTAGCTTTGCCCCAGAGTAGAGAGAATTTGAGGCAGAGGGTCGTTTAAAGCAGGGGTCTCCAACCTTGGCAACATTAAGCTTGTGGGGGACTTCAACTCCCAGAATTCCCCAGCCAGCTTTGCTGGTTTGTATGCTGGTTGTAAGCTGTAAACTGTAAACTGGCTGGGGAATTCTGGGAATTGAAGTCCCCCAAGCTTAAAGTTGTCAAGGTTAGAGACCCCTGCTTTAAACCCCCTCACCCAAATTCTCCGGGTCTTTTGCGGCAGGGTAGTAATTCCCCCCCACCCAAATCCTCATTGTGTGTGTGTGTGTGTGAGGGGGAACTGTTGGTAGTTTTGTAGCGCTGGCACCTCCGACACGAGCGGTCCTGTTTGCGGGTGCATAATCACAGACACACCCTCACGCAAAAATGCATTACACCATGTCAAACGTTCACCTCCTGGTTGCTTCTGTGCAATAAACCGCCAATTAAAAAGAAAAAAAAAACATGCTTACAATACATTGACTTCCCGTCTCTGGTTTTTTGTGGTTGGGGAGTAGGCAAAGAATGGTGATGGAGCTGAGCAGGAATAACGTACATTCCACCATGGAGTTACGAGGTTTCACACCGAAGTGTTCCCCCAAGAGTTGAAGGAGCCAATTATTTTCAGCAGAAAAATCCCGGCGGAGTCCGAGTCTTTAGGAATTAGCCGTTGGCGCAGCTGCAGACCCAACCAGAGTTCAAAACAAAGCCAGCGTCAGGATTCCAGCAATCGCCCTAACTAAATCATGATCCTCGAGCCAAACTTCAAAAAACTTCGAAGGATTTATTAGAGGGGACATGCTGGCACTGTCCTGTATGAAGCCAACTCTGGCCTACATAATTTAGTCCCCTGTGACCCTGTTTAGTCCCCCCCCCCGGGTGTGTCATAAATCAGATTCTCCGATTGAGCACTATTCGCGGGCTGGGTAATCAATCACATATCTCCAATTATGGGCTGGGTGTCATCAATCACGTTCTCCAATTAAATGTATTCCCAGGCAAAAAGCTCCGGTAGTTTAGTTACGAACTTTTAAAGAGAAGAGTTGGAATGACTTTCGCTTCCAGACTCTTGCACTGCTCTTCCAGATTGCCTTCCTTCCCTCCACCCTTTATTTTTTATTGCAACTGCTCAAATAGGCATAGGAATGTTTTTATGAGTTGACAGACAGGTAGTCCTCACCTTATAACCACAATGGAGGCCCAGAATTCAGGTTGCCAGGTGAGGAGTCTGCTGTTGGTGAAGCGAATCGCTGCAATTGTTAGATTAGCAACATGGTTCTAAAGTGAATCGGGTTTCCCCCTCCCCCCCCCGACTTAGCTTGTCAGAAGATCACAAAAGATGATCATGTGATTTCTCTGGGACACTGCGGCGGTCATAAATGTGAGTCAGTTGTCAGGCATCCAGCTGACTTAACAGAAAAGGAAGCCCCCCCAAATAAAGAGGTTTTTTTTTTCCAAAGCACCAGGGGGGGCGAGTCAAGAAACAACAGATGGAAACTAACCAAGGAGAGAAGCAACCTGGAATTAAGGAGCAACTTCCTAACAGGGAGGACAATTAACCAGTGGGACTGCTTGCCACCAGAAGCTGTAGGTGCTTCATCCCTGGAGGTTTTCAAGAAGAGACAGGGCAGTCATTGGTCTGCAATGGTGTAGAGCTTCCTGTCTGAGCAAGAGGGTTGGACTAGAAGACCTCCAAGGTCCCTTCCAACCTTGTTCCTCTCCAAAGCACCAGAGGGCAGGACAAGAAATAATGGTTGGGAATTTATCAAGGAGAGAAGCAACTTGGAATTAAGGAGAAACTTCCGATCAATTAATTGGGAGGAAGGGAGGACAATTAATTAATCAGTGGCACAGAAGTTGTCTCAGGAAGTTGTGAGTGCTCCATCACTGGATTTCTTTCTTTCTTTCCTTCCTTCCTTCCTTCCTTCCTTCCTTCCTTCCTTCCTTCCTTCCTTCCTTCCTTCC